GATCAGTTTCTGGCGTTGTTGGTTGTCTCGCCTTTAAAAGAAAATGGTCAAAGTTTCTTCCAGACACCGTTCGACGTTTTGTTTTGGAAATTTCATCCCAAGATTTTCCAATGATTTTTGCGGTGTCTAAAACATTGAATTGTTTCCAAAAGTCTCTAACAGTTATTTCACTGTTTTGCTTCATAGCTTCATTCAGATGTGCAAACGAATGCCTCGAGTAGCAAACCCAGAATGTTTTAATGACTCCCTGGTCCATCTTTTGAAGCAAGTTGGTTGTTTTTGGAGGCAAAATCACAACTTTCATACGTGGGTCGAAATCAATTAGGGTGGCAGGAGGGTGACAGGGTGCATTGTCAGTAAGAAACGTCACTTTAAATGGAATTTGTTTAGACTTGCAACAAAGTTCGACTTCAGGTATGAGGTGGTGAACCAGCCCTCAAAAACGCAAGCTGTCACCCAAACTTTATGATTTGACTTCCAAATCACTGGTAAGCTAATCTTAGATATACTTTTTTAAGACTGTTGGGTTTTCGGAGCAGTAAATTAAGATAGGGTTTAACGTGCACTCACCAGCTGCATTCCCGTCAACCGTCACTGTCAGTCGGTCTTCAGAAACCTTAGAGCCTGGAAAGATTTTTCTTCACGTGCGATGAAAGTTTTTTAGGCATCTTCTTCCAGAATAGGCCAGACTCATCGACGTAAATTACGGTGTCACTATTGTGTCACCTTCTTCTATAATGGCCTTGAGTGTCTCAGGAGAAGAAGACGCAGCTATTTTGTCGGCACCTCCTGCCTCTGCACTCTCCGCGATGCTGTGCCAATTACAGCGAGTTTTAAATCGGTTGTTGAACCAACCGTTACTAGCTACATTTTTAATCTTCGTTCGCCTCACCAGCTTCTTCTTTCAACCTCTCAAAAATTAGCTTTGCTTGATAGCACATAGTGTTCTGATCGACTGGACAAATTTTCACTTTTACGTGATTATCACAGCATAATTTCAGCGTTGTTTCCATCTAAGCAATAATATCATGACGTTTACGAATTATGCTTGAGTTCAAGCATTGAGCATTTTTCACCACATCGAGAATTCTTTCATCATCTTTCATGATTGTTCTTACTGTGAATTCTGGTAGCTGAAATTTCTTTGCCAATTCGCAAATTTTGATTCTGCTTTCAAAATCCTTGATAATGTTAAGTTTACATTCCAAAGATATCTTTCTCTTTTTCTTACTAGGTTTAGGAGAATCAGATTTAGTTCGTTTGGAAGACACGGATTTGTAAGGGTTTAGAAAAAGTATAACAAAGCAGTCTGAACTGTCGTCGATCGTAGAATCGTAATTGTCCACGTAGAGTTCGCGCCAAACGCGTCCAATGCATGTCACAGCAAGAGAAACACTGAAGTGAGTGAGTGGCAGTGTTCTGCCACAGGAAAAAAACGCGTAACTGCGAGTTCGCGTTAAGTGGGGGTAGCGTGAGTAAGGGTATTACTGTACTATCCAATAACAAACAGCGGCATGCAAATCGAAAAATCTTTATGTCATCACTGACGTTCCGTTTGAATGCCGATGATGCGTTTTCCATCCTATCGGGGATTCCAGTTCCAAGTGTGCCATTCTACTTGTTAACTCATACATTTTCGTAAGCATTTTGGGTTGTTTGATCATTCTACTCATGTTTTTGGCAGTTCTCTATTTCTACGTTGATTTCTTATTGTCGTCCTTGCACCGCTGCCTTCTTGTTGCGTATTTTCTGACCGTCTGCGTGCTCCCTGTACGACATCTCTTGTCCTTTCTGCTTTATTTCCATTTTCTTCACGTTTCTTGTTCACGTTGCAGTCAATTGATGCCTTGAACTATTGATCAAGAAGGGACTGAGAGTCGTTTGTGAGCAAGAGCTTTCTCGGGTGCTGTCTCGTCAAGAGTTTTCGGACTTTGTTGTTCTTAAGTGAACGCAGTACCTTCTCATCCCTAAATTATGCTCCTTTCTATGCATTCTGCCATGTCCCGACTAAAAGCTTTAGGTTTTTTCTTGTTACGACGCCGTGGCACTCTGTTGTTCTTTATTTCAGCCCTTTCCATGCTTTCTTCCTATTAGTTCCCGTTCATAATTTCTTCTCATAATATTTATTTGTCTATTGCTTGCAAGCATTTATATCAAGTTATTTGTTTAGCAAGTGTACTGCTTTTCATCGTTAGCATATCTTGTGATTTTTAAAGGCCCATATCGATACCATGCCGCAAATTATTTGAAGATTACTGTTCTTCTGACTCCATGGCTGGCAGGACGAGAAACAAGAAAAAAGTTTTATTTTCAAGAAGTCTAACTTTTCCACCGAATTGGCATCAGTCATCATCAGGGAACCTGATCTTTCATACTGATGCTTGCATGTTTTGTAATCCACGCATAATGGATACTGACATACTCCAGCAGGCGTATTCACTTCGTATTTTGAGTCACAACTATAATCTATGTGCTACGCAACGCTGCAAATGTACATTCACCAGTCAGGCGGATTTGATCTGTCGAGTTTCCGTATGTCAATTAATCCTGTCAATGCTCCTCCATTTTACATTCCAGGTCTGAAGGTCAGCCGAGGCGGGATTCGCAGAGAACTGCAAGAGCCCTCGCTGTCGAAATGGTTCAAGCCGCTTGCAGACGAATCCCATCACTTGATTGACGTTGTAGGCGCTCCGTCTTCGTAGCACTTGATTCTGAGGAAATGAATGTACTGAACGACCATTTGTTCTTCAGGCTTTAAATTACTACTACGTTAAAAAATCTGATCATAATTTAACAAACGTTATTTCATAGTGACCTCGAGTTTCAGGGATTCGCCAGGCTATACATCATTCTTCGCGATATTCACAGAAAACGACTAGATGATTATGATAGGAGGTATAACCGCTGAAAATCACATAAGCTGTTTATCTTAAGTACAGGATCATATTAAAATAAACAAGCTTAAAAAGTACCTCCATAGAGAAACAGTTTGCTTTGTCGATCGTTCCGCAATACACCGGTCGCTGAATAAGTAACGACTCCATTTGGAGCTGAGATCTTTTGCCGTGCTCTGTCTTTTTAAGACATGCCAACGTGGCTTGCAGCTGATGAAACTGACAGAGTTAGGGATGAGCATATGGCTGCATCCAGAATACATGCATCACATGAAAGGATTCAAAGATAAAAGAATAAGGAACACGTCTCTGTCAGCGCATCCAGTAAAACTTTGGAATCTGTGACTACCACTGAGAAACTGATTTCCAGTGCTCCTTAGAAGGGTTCGCAGCCGAGTGCGACGTGACCGACATGCCTGTAAACGCATCTAAAACGAAAAACCTAGTGCTTTCTCGTTCTCCTGCCCGTTGCTCTCTTCAGATTAACGAAGAGGCAGTGAAGCAGGGGGAGAAGTTCAAGTACCTAGGAACTGTATTTACTGGTAATGGAAAATTGAAGGTAGAGATCGACTGGCGAATTGGAGTAGCCAGTGCCGTTCTACGTGAGCCAGTCCGACCCACTGTGACTAAAGCAGAGCTCAGTCTGAAAACTAAGCTGTCAATATTCAAGTCGATCTTTAGAA